ATGGGGCCTGAAAATTAGAATCCCTTGTGCTGTTTTAATTCTCCATTCTGATTCTGCTCCAGAAAAAAAACAAAAACAAACAAACAAACAAAAAAAAAACATTGGGTCTATAGCTAGATTTTAAGAAACATAGGCAGGGTCTGCATAGTCAGAAAATTTCTGGATAGGCCCTACTAATTCATAAAATCTTAAAACCATGTTGCAGCTGGATAAGAAACTATTAATACAAGAAACTCCCCCATTTTCTTGACAGAGGAGCAATCTTCTCTCAAGTAGCTATAGCTTGTTCCTTTTTATGGCGAGGTGGTGTGCCCTCACAATTTGCTTATCAGTTCTCCTGTCAGTGAGCATTTGAGATCTTTCCACATTTTGGCTATTAATGATATAGCTTCCGTGAAACTTTTGTAGCATGTGGACATATGTTTTTATCTCTCTTGACCAAACAACTAGCAGCAAAATTGTTGAGTATACAACTTGTGTATGTTTACCTTCATTGAAACCATCAAATGGTTTTTCTAAGTGGTTGTACCATTTAACAGTCTCATTAGAAATGTGTGAAAGTTCCAGTTGCTCCCCATCCACACCAACACTTTACATTTTAAGTCTTTTGGATTGTAGCCATTCTAAACCTGATGTAGTATAATAATATCACATTGTGATTTTAATTTGCATTCCGCGATGACTAGTGATGTGTATTTTTCCCTCCATGTTTTTAGCCATCCAAGTGTCTTTTTTTTGTGAGGTGACTGTTGCCTACTTCTTTTTTTTATTATATTGTCTTCATTATTGATTTTTTTCAGTGTTCTATAAATTACCAAGATGTAAGTCCTTTGGCAGATATTTGTATTGTGGATATATCATCCCAGTGCTGGTTTCCTTCTTGATTTTTATAAATAATTTTTTTAATGAGGAGATATTAACTTTAATTAAGTCCAATTTATTATTTTCTATCTGAACAAGTCACAGGATGCCTAGTTATAGTCATCCTGTCACTTGTTCAAACATCTTTGCCTACCACAATATGGTGAAGTTATTCTCCTTGTTTAGCTTTTGACATTTACATCAGATTTTCTCAATTTTGACACTATTAACAGTTTGGACTGGATAATACTTTGTGGAGGGGAGCAGTCTCCTATGTTTTGTAGGATGTTTATCAGTATTGCTAGCCTCTAGCCATTAGGTGTCAGTAGCGGTAGTAGGGATGGTAGTACAGTACTAGTCATTTTCAAAGTCATTTTTCTCCATATGGAAATCTGGTGGTCTCCAGCACTATGTGTCACAAAGACTTTCCACTGCCCATTGTTTTGAATTGACATCTTTATTGAAAAACATTTGACTTTATTGTGTGCATCTACTTCTGTACATTCTGTTAGGTTCCATTAACCTGCTTGTCTATACTTATTTTATTCGTTCAAAATTTTCTTGGGTACTCTAAATTCTTTACATTTTCATATGAATTTAGAATTATTGGTCATTTATTCAAAACATCTGATGGGATTTTAGGATTGCATTGAAACTATAGGCATCTTTATAATTTTGTCACCAAGTCCATAAACATGGTAGATTGTTCCATGCATTTAGACTTTCTATAATTTCTTGGCAAATCTGTACTATAGTTTTAAATGTGGAAGTCTGACACATCTTTTGTAAAATGTATCACATATAATTTATGTTTTCTGATAGTTTTATAAATTGCCTCATTTTAGTTTTATGTTCTGAGTGATTGTTACTTACATATTGTATTTCTAATTTTTGTATAATGACCTTGAATCCAAAAATTTTGCTAAGATCACTTTGAGGTTCAACAGTTTGTAGATTCCTTTGAGTTTTCAATATTTCAATTATTTTAGTTACAAATAATGAGATTTATTTTTTTCAATCTTTATGACATTTTTTCTTGCCTTATTTCACTAGTTAGACCCTCCATCACAAGATTAAATAATAGTCATGAAAGTGAACATTCATGCACTCTTCATGATTTTAGGGGGAAGCATTTAACATTGTATGTATATACATTAAGAATTATGGTAGCTGTAGATTTTCTTATTCACTAAGTGTCTTTTTTTTGCTTGTTTGAGTATTGAGTTTTGTTCTAACACATAGTCACATACTAAAAGATAACCATGATATTAGGGAAGTTTGGTTTTATGCCTTATAAGGGCAAGCATATTTTGTGTTTCATTTTGTTCTTTAGCTTTACAACACAGCCCTTAATTTCAGCCCTTACTTTGAAGATGGGCCCCTTCTGAGATTTCAAGGGAACTTTCATGCATTTCTGTGTGAAGTCCAAACTGACTTTGCAACACAGACAGCTCCTGAACTCTCTGCTCAACTCTTTGGCCTCTTAGCTACTGCTTTCCTCTACATAGAGATTTACCAAAATAAATATATATTTGGTTTTCATCCCCTTTTCTAGCATAAAACTCCTCCAAATGCTTAGAGTTTCCTAAGTTATAAAAGCATAACATTGACTTTTGTTATGTCAATGATGTGGCTTTTGGACCTCACCTAAGGATTGGGGCCCTGAGCCAGGAGAAGCAACCATGTGATTAGGGGGTTGGGACTTCCAGTCCCACTCTGATCTGGAGGTTGAATCAACTGCCAATGGACAATGATTCAATAAATAACATAAATGTAAGGAGGCCTCCACACAGCCCCAAAGGGACAGGGTTTGAGCTCCTGATTTGGTGAACACATGGGATTTCTGGACAGGGGAGAGGATGGAAGCTCTGTGCCCTTTCCCCAATACCTTGCCCCATTCATCTCTTCCATCTGGCTGTTCCTGAATCCAATCCTTTATCAATAAACCTGCAACTTAGCAAGTAAAAAGTTTCTCTGAGTTCTGTGAGCTCCTCTGGCAAATTAATGGAAACTAAGCAGGGAGTTGTGATCTACAGCCACTTGGTTTACAGCACAGGTAACAAATGTCAGGGGAGGGAGGGCAGTTTAATAGGTCTGAGCTCTTTATCTTCAGGTATACAGTGTCAGAGCTGAGTTGAATTGAAGGATACCTAGGTGGTGTCCGAGAATTGCTTGGCTCCAGAATATTAGTCTGTATACATAAGTCAGGAATCAGCCAAGGGTTTGAGTGGAATTAATGAGCAGATTTGGGAACTTGTCTTTGGTCTTCTCATTTCTTAGAATTATCCATTCAATTCAAGGCATGCTACAGCCCCAAATTCCAACATTTATTTTTTTCAGGAAGAGTGGATGAATATTTACTTTCATCACTTCTATTTCACATTGTGATTAAGGTCCTAAATAAGGCACAAAAAAAAAAGTCACAAAGACTGAAAAAAATTGAAGCTCATCACTTGTATTATAAAAAATACAGTTGATATGTAGGATATCCAAAGAAATCCACAAACTGTTGAACCTCAAAGTGAACTTAACAAAACTGAATTCAAGGTCATTAGACAAAAATTAGAATGCAATACAAATAATGGACACTTAGAATATAAAATTAAAATAATATAATATATAAAACTATCAGAAAACATCAAGTACATGTAATACATTTTATAAAAGATTTGGAGGACTTTCACATTTCAGACTGCAGTGCAGATTTTGTTGAGAAATTATAGAAAATCCAAATATATGAAGAAATCTACCATGTTTATGGATTGGATGACAACATTTTAAAGTTGTCTCTAGTTTCAGTGCTCTTTCTTTATGAGCTATATTCGGTGCAAACTGGGAAGTGCTCTCGGAGGGTAAGCAAAAAAATGTGGGACTCATTTTGTTTCCCTTTGTCTAGTGATTGAATCCCTTCCTGTTTCTTTCCATTTGAGTTGCTTTCCAACGGCTTGAACAGTTTATGTTTTCCTCTCTTGATCATGTAAACATTTCTTAGCATATTATTCGTCTGCCATAACTGTTCCACTATTACCAGACTGAAACTTCCCATATTGGATTTCTAACAGCTCCTCAACAGAGAAACACCTTTCTCTGATCTCAGAGTCTCCACATATATTCTCCTTGCCCTGAAGCACTATCTCCCATGCTCTTTGACTAACTAGTTTCCAATTGCCCTTCATGTCTGTTTCACTATCAGTGGCTCAATAGTCTCTTCTTACCATTTCCTAACTCATCCAGGTTGCTCCTTCCACTATACATTCCCATAGCAGACTGTTTCATTTAGTATTTATAAGACTTACCCTGCTTATTGTTAGTCAATACCCCTCTCCTTCTTAGAGAGTAAGTTCCATGAATGTAGAAATTATACTGAATACTGTCCCTAGATGATTAGGAAGCATTTGGTAAACATAACTTTGTCTAAAACCAAAGTATAAAACATTTTGATGACTTTATTGCAAATATTGTGAGAGTGATTTATTAAAAACATTGATAAAGGATTTCATCAGCAGAGTACAGGTGTGTGCACAGTTAGGCATTGGCCAATAATTGCAGCAAAATTTCTTCTGTCCACTCTTCTATCATTGCCAACTATATGTTCAAACCATGTAGTTCTCTGTGTCCAGCTCAAGAGGACTATAATGACAGCCTTTGGAGGCTTTCCATGACACACAAAGCAGATGCTTGGAAAAAAAATAACAAGTCTGAATAAGTCTTCTGGTAGCTTTTTTTTTTTTTATCATCATCCAGAAATCCATCTGATAACAATTTATCATTAATCATCATCTTCTCCAACATGTAGTAAAAATATTGCTGTCTAAGGATAAATATGATCATATTCTTTCCCACCATCCCAGAGCTCTCTTCTTCCATGTAGCTGGGACACATGGAAATATGTTCTATATACCTAGAAAGTTGAATTAATCCATACATAGGGTGACATTGCAATAGGCATCATCAGATCGATAAACTTTGTCTTCAGAAAACCAAACCCATTTAAGGAGTCAAACTTTGGATATGTTGGAACGGTGCTAGGTATTTCCAAATAGAAACCAGGATCTAGCACAAGGCTTGGCATGTTGTTAAATCAACATTCATTTGATATCAAATCAAATGGTCACAGTAAAAATTCAAAACAAAGGCACTTATAATAAACCAAGTTTATTGATTAATGCATAAACATGACCATTTTTTTAAAAAGAAGTAGAAAGCAAATGATTGCCTCAGTGAATAAAATGAGGCTTTCCCTGGCGGAGACTCTGCCTAACCAGCACAGCTCTTACAGCGCTGAAGACCGTTCTCGTTGCACGCCGTGCACTTCAGGGCTTTGAAAGAGTCTGTGAAGCAGTTTCGAAACACTGACATCTTGCTCCCATGGCACACGGAGCACGGATGAAAGCCGAAGCCTCCACAGGAAGGACACTCGTGCGGATGCTGCACTCTCTGGGTAGGGTGGCAGGAGGACAACAGAGAACAGGAAATGTGTTAGCACGGACAATTCAGTCAGCCTCCCTGTCTTTCTGTACTGCTGATGCTCATAAAAATAGTACTGACATGCCGAAACGAGTTTGGCTCAGTGGATAGAGCATCAGTCTGCAGACTGAAAGGTCCCAGGTTCAATTCCGGTCAAGGGCATCTACATTGGTTGTGGGCACATCCCCGGCAGGAGGCAGCTGGTTGATGTTTCTCTCTCATCGATGTTTCTAGCTCTCTATCCCTCTTCCTTTCTCTCTGTGGAAAATCAATAAAATATATTTTTTAAAAATAGTATTGACATAATATAGCTATGAATTGGAGTCCATTACATATACACCGAGTGGCCAGATTATCATAATTTCTGAACACATAATAATCTGGCCACTCAGTGTATATCCTATATAATAAAAGGCTAATATGCAAATTGTCCCCTTGACCAGGAGTTGGACCAGCAGCCAGGCTGGCCACCTGCCCATGTCCCCTCCCCCTGGCCAGGATGGCTGGACCCCACCCATGCATGAATTCATGCACTGGCCCACCAATACACACACACACACACACACACACACACACACACACTGGGTGGCCAGATTATTATGCTTTCAGAGATCATAATAATCTGGCCACTTGGTATATATATTAATATCTGCATATCCTATCTAATAAAAGAGTAATATGCAAGTTGACCATCACTCCAACACACAAGATGGCTGCCCCCATATGGACACAAGATGGCCATCACAGGATGGCTAGAAGGGGAGGGCACTTGAGAGAGATCAGGCCAGCAAGGGAGGGAAGTTGTGGGAGGTCAGCCCAGCAGGGGACAGCAGTTGGGAGGGACCAGGCCTGCAAGGAAGGGCAGTTGGGGTTGATCAAGCCTGCAGGGGAGGACAGTTAGGGGTGACCAGGCCAGCAGAGGAGAGAAGTTGGGAGCAAACAGGCTGGCAGGGGAGCAGTTAGACATCAATCAGGCTGGCATGGGAGTGGTTAGGAGGTGATCAGGCTGGCAGGCAGAAGCGATTAGGGGCAATCAGGAAGGCAGGTCGGCAAGCAGTTGGGAGCCAGCAGTCCTGATTGTAAGATGAATGTATGACTGCCCGTTTAGTCCCGATCCTACCAGGACCGGGACTAAACGGGCAGTCATACATTCCTTGAGGGGTCCCAGATTGAAGAGGGTGCAGGCTGGGCTGAGGGACAACCCCCCACACATGCATAAATTTTGTGCACTGAACCTCTAGTTAATATATATATATCAACTAGCTAAAGTTTCCTTCATTGCTCCACTGATGGCCACCAATAGCAGGAGCTTAATTTATAAAATTTGGTGCATTTTTGGTCAAAGGGCACACATTTAGAGAAACCCATTATATAAAACCACATATTTACAAACCAAACAATGCAGAAGATGGTGATTTGCATTAAAGGGAAATATGGCAACTTCCTCTCTGGTATCTCTGAACAGTTTTGTGGTTATGTTTAGACTACTATCAAAAACAGTTGAGTCTGGAAATTTCAAAAACTGAAGGCTGACATGCAGAGGAGCCACTACCACCTGGAGGGCCCATGTTATATTGCCCATTTGAATATGTTTTTTAAAAAGCACTTTCAGTGCTTTATTATATAGAAGCTTCCATGGCCTCTCCCTTCACAAATATAGACACCTCCATAAAGCAGATAATTCAAGCAACTTTTTCTTCATTTTATATTTGAAGAAATAGTCACAAAAATTTTAGGATGTTTACCCAAGTCTATATAATTTCTCATGGTTGCTATCAGCCTTTCTACCTCAAGGAAAGATAAAGAACCCTGGTGGTAGGATGAAAATAACTAGCCAGTGTGTGGAGGATAATATTTTAAAATGACCCATACACATTTTTATTTGCTCTTTTGCATGTGTAACCTTTGCTGGAGTTCACTAGTGGCACCCGTCAGCTGGGGGCAGGTTATAAAAAGATCACAAAGAAAAAAATGTGTGAAAGCCAAGCTTCTGACTTGCAAAATAGGAATCTGCAGCAATGTTTGAAAGTACAGCTTTGAAACAAGAATAATGGAATAATGGCTAATGCTGAGAAATGTGGATTCTCTCTCTCTCTCTCTCTCTCTCTCTCTCTCTCTCTCTCTCTCTCTCTCTCACACACACACACACACACACACATACACACACACACACACACACACACACTCAGGCAAACATACTGTACATACTTACACATACATACAGCTTTTCTCTGGAGCATCACAATTGCACAATAAAAGTCTCCAAAAAAGATGACTGAGAAAATACGCCTGACTAAGTGTGTTTAACCCACCATTTTCCCTGAACAAACTACTATATGAACCCTTTCCCCAAGAAACAACTTTAATTTGCTCATATGTACTACCTTGTGAAGTGTACTTTGGGGAACAACCATTAAGAACATGATTGCCTTCAAATTTATATATTCCAATACCACTTTCAGATATGCATTTTCTGCAAGATTCATGTGCAATTACTGTTGGACTTAGCTATTATATCAAGATGGAAAATCCATGTAATAGCTCATTTTCAGTGGCACAGGATAACTTTAATGGAAAGTAATGGCTGTCAACCCAAATGACACAAACAAGAAACTGTCAAGTTTGTAGAGATTCAAAGCTCTTCCACAAATCAGATCAAATAAATTTCCTAAAATAAAATTCATATATAAATGCTAAAAGCTAAATTGTCATTTTAAAGGGAATCACAAATGGATGAGGACAACACTAAAATAATGTCATCAGAATCCATGTTGTGCTATTCTGAAATCTGTCTTTTACTCAAAGGGTTGTTGAGAGGATTCAATGAGTTAATTCATGAAAAATGAATAGAATATTGTCTGGCACATAGTACCCACTCAATAAAGTTAGTCATTGTTATTTCATTAATAAATGCTTATTTGAAGGGATTTGTATTAACTGCTGCCTCGATCTAAATTGTTTGTAGTCATATGATGTAACTATTGTGTATCGTTTTTAAACTCACTTTATTTAAATTCTTCTATAATTAGCCTTTTGGTTTCAGGTCTTAAGGGAAAATAAATGTATTTCTATACATGTGTGAATTCTGATGTCTTGGAGCACAGTGTTGGAAAGATTATAAGGCCACTTCCATTTCTAAGAAAAATTAGCTGTTTCAGCCATAAACTCAGAAAGGATGATTTACATAGCCTGAAGAGTTTATACCCAATGTTCAAACCAACCTCATTTTACATATGAGGAAATAAAGCCTCTGAATGAGTAAAAATATATTCAGGATACAGGGGATCAGAAAACTGGAAACTGAAGAACTCTCTTTAAAAACAAAAGCTATTGTTCTATTTAACAGTAGTTTCAACCTTATTTACATCCATTTTTCCCAAATAACATTCCTAAATGTAAAACAGTTAAAAGGATAAATGCTATGACTAAAGCAGAATAGGGTGGGGGGTGGAAGTGGGTCTTGAGATTACTCACTACGCTTTCCCAGTACTCCATTAACCTCCAGGAATCCCATTCCTATATATTCTCCTCCATTTGTTCTTCTCATAAAGATCAACAATCCAGTCATGCTTAGTCATCTCCTTCAAAGAGCATTTTTGTTACACTGGAACTTTGGTTCCATCTCAAAGAGTTCCTTAGAAATAAAATAAGTTGGCTTATTTTAGAATAGAGTCCCAGTGCATGCATTCATGCACCAGTGGGGTCCCTCAGCCTGGCCTGTGGGATCAGGTCAAAACAGGCTCTCTGAGATCCCCTAAGGGGTCCTGGATTATAAGATGGTGCAGTACAGGCTGAGGGACCCGCTGGTGCAAGATTGGAGCTGGGTAGGGATGAGGAAGGTTGGCCAGCTGGGAAGGGACCATGGGAGGGCTCCAGGGCATGTCCAAATTGTCTTTCTTAGTCCTGATCAGCAGGCCCCCAGCAGCAAATTAACCTACCAACTGGAGTGTCTGCCCCTTGGTGGTCAGTGCACATCATTGCAAGCAGTTGAGTGGCCAAGCAGCCTTAGCATATCATTAGCATATTACACTTTGATTGGTTGAATGAACAACTGGATGACCAGACACTTAGCATATTAGGCTTTTAGTATATAGGATGCCCCTGTGTCCTAAGTCCAGCACCTCCATAGACAGTTTTGCCCTCAGGGGAAAATGTAAAATGAACTAATAAATTTCCCAAAACTTAGACAATATTCTAGCTTGGAGGAAGAAGAAATATCTGAAGTTAGCGTTATTCCTTATTAGCAACAATACAAACTTTCATTTCAATGAAGAGATCTACTTCAGGTCTTTGACTTCAATCAACTAAGGAATCTAGGGTAACTTTTCAGTGTCCTGGTGCCCAGCAGAGTGAGAATCCAAGCAGACTTAGTTGAGAATAGCACTCAGAGCACAAAATTTACAGAATGTCACTCCTCTGAATAGTGGTTTGGGTAGAAGCATGCCCCTTTGAAGTGCAATTCAAATTTTTTTTTAAGTAGAAAAGTATTTCCTTTCATTTCTTTCTTTTCACATATTCTTGCTGAAGGACTTTAAAAAAAATACTTAGTCATTCATTCCACAAATATGTTGAGTGTCTACTGCCAGGCACTGTGCAATATATTAGGGATACAGTCGTAAAACAGACACTTCCCTGTTCTATAAAAAATGGCTCTTAGCCCTACCCTGAGGTCTTCAAAGAGGTCCACTGCATACTGCAGTCATCTGAGTTGAAGCAACAGGAACTTCCAAATCTCTCATAAAGGACCAAGGAACAAAGATATGAGTGTGGAGTTCATAAGTGATAACCAAATGGGTGTTTTTGGTAGCAAAAACTCAACTTTCGTAAATACAAAGGCTTTGCTGCTATCTAATATAGAGGGTGCTAAGATCAGTAATCTTCAACGTCTTCTTCAAGATCAGGAAATTAAGGGCACTTCTTAACCTCAGAGCAACTAATTCTATTCCAGAAGAGCTTGAAAGTCCCTTAAGCATTCTACCAACGAGGAAGCAACTTATCTGAGTCTCTGTGACTACAAACTTCATCATCCAGATTGCCTATGAAGCGGACTTAATCCATGCAACAAATTGTCAAAGAGTGCACACTTGACATGTAATCATCTCTGCATGATTCAGCTTTGTCCCTGTATTTTGCTTTAAACTACACTCAACATTTCAATTCAGCAAATGCTTATTAAGTAGCTAATAAGCACCTCTCTCTGTCTGGCCACGCTGCTAATGAACAGTTAGCAGAACAGAGATGGTAGCACCATCCATTAGCAGCATTGCGAAAGAAGCCACGGAACAAAATGCAGACACGGGAAATTTGTAGCTTACGATACGAAATGAATAAGCCAGAATGTGTGAGCCTGATCCTTGAACCCAATGGGATATACTGCCATAAACCTGCTTAAAAAGATGTTCAGATTTCAGAGAGCAGCAGACTGAACACATGGCCCGGTTCCCCCAGTGAGCGGGTGCTGCTCTGAGACCAGAGTCTCTGAACAGGCTGTGGACATCTCCCCACTAGGAGGGGACATCATGTAGAACGGGCTTCTCCTGAGAGGGTGAGGACAGGCTTTGACAGCTCCGATGCCTTGTACAGAAAGCCTGGGCCTTTCTAGCATCCTCAGGGTGCTGCTGGGCATCTTCCCTCTGTTTTATGTGAACAACGAATTAGTAGTTCCCAGCCTTCAGGGAACAATCAGGCAGAAAATGGACAGCATGTTGGCGATCCCATAGAAATAACAACACAATGCTTGCTCACGTCTTTAAAAAGAAGAGCAAGGCAAAAACTTACTTAGATCTTCTCAACCAACTGAGAACTTTCACCCCGTATCTGCCATTAATTACAAGGTGTTTGCCAAGACACCTCAGGCTCTCTTGCTTTCTCTGTGTGGACACCAGCAGGGTCAGGGAAAATTTTACCTCTTTGCTTCTAATCTGTAGCCTGTTTATTAATATAAATAAATGCATAAATATAATAATAAGTCAAGTTTACCTGAAAATGTGTTTTTATTCATATTTTTGCCCAAGCATTCTCCTACATTAAAATAACTATGTTCTTCTCTTTTTCATCAGTAGGCTTCCTTGCCTTCTCAAAACAAACCCCACCTTGGATGAAAAGGGATTCAACTCAAAAATATTTACTGGGTGCCCATTATTTGCAATCTCTATTCTAGGCATTCGAGGTGGAGAACAAAACCACATGCAGCGATGGCCGCTATTTTAGATGGTACAGATATAAACATGCCTAAATGTTCACACAGCCATATAGATGGTACTGAGAAACATAGTGCCTAGAGAAACTAATATGGAACAGAATGGCATATATTTCATAACATACTTGTATATTTTATTAAATTTACATAAATTTAAAAAGTGCACAGAAAATAATACACATTAACCAACTTAATTCACATAAATTTTAAAAATATATATATTCACTCAAATGAATGGTTCCATGTAGTTGGAGTAGGATATAGGTAAAAATGGAAAGAAATTAGCTCCTCCCATGGAGATTTTTAAAAGGAGTTTTAAACTATCAAGTGCATACCCACATTGTTTGTCCTTCTGAGGAGATCACAGTATGAAACATGATATGAATAAAACCAAGGAGTACAGAGTTAATTCGGGACATGAATCAAATACCCAAAGAAAAATCATATAAAAATCAAAATACTTTTGATAAGCACACAACAAAAAGAGGGTCACAGGAATTTAGAGGTGGGAGAGATGGGGAATGATTTTTGGAAGGAATCATGTTGCAGGTGGGCCTAGGGGATGGTGGAGGGAAAGGAAGAATTGGAACAACAGCATTCCAGGCAGACAGAGCAGCTTTCACAAAGGAATGGCAGTAATAAAGCACAAGGAGTTCTTTGTTTAACTGAAGTGGGAGGAATGGTAGACAATCAAAAACAAGGTCAACAAAGGAGACTAGACCCGGATGAGCTGGTAGGGGCATGCACACTAGATTCCAGGGAAGCCGACTGCCTCGTTCATGTGGGAATATCTAGGCTCATGTTTGGGATGCCAGAATAATTATAAATCCTCTTTTGCACTCTCAAAGTATCCCATATATTTCCATGACAAAATATATGGTCTACATATAGAGAAAAATAAGCTTAGCAGAGAAGTATTAGGGGCTTTCTGGTTGATTTGATTCATTGTATATTTGAATAAATATTTCTCCGATGCTATAATAATCGGTATAGGAACAAAATTTAAATGTGCACTTTATAGGAAATAAATTGTTGCAATATTTTAAAAATGATCCAAGAGAAAAATAAAATAATTTACATGAAAATGTTAAATGTGCTTTAAGACAAGTATTTGTTTTGAAACACCTTATTAGCATCACCTCTGTTGGAGAATTGGGCTCTAATAAAGCAGACTAGAATTTTCACCTAAGACTATGAGGATGTTAGAAACTAACACTAAAGCTACTCTAGCAAGAGCACATGTAATGACAGGTGACATCAAATTGAAACTGCCACGTGTATCCTGTTACATATTTGTAAGAACATGGGAAAATTCAAGTAGGAAAACTCAATTACAATCAGAAGGTGTTTAACGTTTTGGTTACTAAAAGTACAATAGTTACTAAAACTACTCAGAAGGATAGTTTATTAAAAGTAAGTTGCTAAAAATACAATTACCTCAATTTTGGTTAAGAGGTCTTGCAGCTCTCCTGATTCGTTCATTGACAAAATTTTCTCAGCACCCTATTAACGAGAGAGGGTAGGGGGGAAAGAAAATCCATTGTGTTAGTATCGGAGAAAATCAAGTTCTAGCCAGGAAAGTTTAAGCTACAAAATACCGAACATGAATCTTCCTATGAGATCTAAGTACATTTACAACCAGGAGGCCAAGAAGAGAAGAAATGTATCTTTCCTTTCACATGCTCCCATCTAGGAAGGCTTACTGTGGGCAAGAGGGGGACGGCCAGCAGGAGGGGAGCGCTAGAAAGCCCACAGCTGTCAGAATAAGCCCAGATGTGAAAGGCTCCAGCGCTCCCTTCAGAGGTGGTTAGGGAGCCTGGAGCCCCTGCTACCATCTGGGAGAGGACACCTCTGAGCACATTCCCATCCAGGGCTGTCTCTGCTCTATTCCAGGCGTCCTGGACATGCTGTTCCTTAGAGTCGTGCGTGTAAAAATAACAGTAGCTAAAATAATAAAAGAGTTAGTAACCACTGCCACTGAGCACATACTGTGAGGGAGGCACCCAACATCATCTAACTCGATGTGTTTGACTCTTTTCATAACAGAAACCGAGCCTTCGTGAGATTAAATAAATCCAAGGTCACCCAAAAAGGAAGCAGAGTGGGGATTTGAACAGGAGCAGAGGATTGACTCCAGAACCCATGTTTTCAACTTCTAAAATGTACGGTGAACATGAGAATTGGGGCAATGTCTGCACTTTCCAAAAACTCTTGTGTTTCCTCTAACTATCCACGTTCTTTTCCTTTCCAGTCTCTTCTTACATTCTCTCCTCTCTTTCCCAACATACGCACATGGAGCGGGGAGAAGAAAACCTTGGGGTAATTATTTCTAATCAAAGGCAGAGTCCCCATCTGCCTTGTTCACATCATATTCCCAGCACAGAATGTTGGATTCACTGTCTATTTATCAACGAGACAGGGGGAAAATATTAGCACACAATACATACTTTTTTTAATTCCGTTTTTGCAGGGCAGGGTAGAAACCACAGGCTCACTTCAAAAAAGAAAGGTCCTAGTTCTGAAGGAGGTTGCAATACACTTATGTATGTAAACACTAGCAAAGGAATGCACAGGGTAGAATGGAAAGTTAGGGCTAAATGAATGGTGCAGACAGGGGGCAAGCTAGGAAGTCTCAGCAGAGGGGACTAAGAATCTGCTTAGTGAGGGTCCAGAAGGATTTCTGAAGTTGGTGACAAGTGATGTGGCCCCTGAAGGTTGTAGGCGAGGTTTCCATCGCAGCCTCAGCCATTCTCATAGGGATGCAGAGGAGCCTTTGGTTCCAGGTTTCACCTCACTACAGTTTATCTCACATAATTTGTGACACCTTAATCATCATCAGAGATGTCAGCTTGACATATTAAAAAGCACTTCGAGAAAAACAAATGCACAGGGCTACAGAGAATATATGTAGCTGAACGGGCAGGTTATATTCTTTTATTTGTGGGTAGCTCTGCCAGGAATATAGATGTGACACCCCCTAAGGTGAGAACCAACATAACAAAAGTACCAAAATAAAACATGAAAGTCTAAAACGTAGTAATATCTGGTAATATTTTACTGTTGCTACATTCTATTTCCTCTAAGAGTTAGCTAAGCTATGAGAGGAAATGCCTCTGGGGAATTTGGCCCACTGGACCAAAGCAGTAAGGAAACAATATATGAGTCATTTCCTGGCGATGAAAGAAAATGCATCGCCATCACTCCAAGCAGAATGAATGGACCAGAGAAGCTATCACACACCTGCTCCCAGCGCTGAGCTCAGGGGTCAGTGTGCTTCAGTCAGTTGTTCAGCAAACCATTCATAGACCAGGAAAGGGCCATCTCCTTACCATTAAATGCATGGAACATACTCAGCCTCTGTCAAATAATCCCAGCACCATCACTATTATGGAAGTAGATTCCATGTTTCAGATGAGATGAAGGCTTTGCCCACTTGAAGAGCTCATCCTTGCTCTTCAAGACACGCTGGTGTCTAGTGCACAGGTGATACACCAAGAGCCTAAGGTAGGAAAAACTTTGCCCTGTAACAGAGACCTGATGGTCTCTCTCTCTCTTTCAAATGTTGCTACTCAATATGGCCTCCACCTACAACTCTATCTGGCCAGGCCTCAAATGGTTTCCTTAGAAGGAGCCTTCTGGTCCTTGTGTACACTCTGAGCAGGAATAATAGCCCAAACCCCCTTGTATCCCCATGGGGTCCCACGTCCTTGCAGAATGAAGTACAGGATCCCACAGGCAGACAAGAAGGTCAGATGCTGCCCTCTCTACTTCTGAGTAGCAGCAGGAGGGGATCTCAGCCTCGTTGGCAAGTTCCAGGGCAAGTTTAGACCCCTGCCGTCCTCACCCTCAGGACTTACACTAGGGTGGCTCTCAGGCTCTCCTGCTCCACATGGCATCTATATATTCCAAGGTCTCCTTCCCCACAGCTATCTATCACAAGTATCTCGATTATTACTTAGCTTTAAAAGAGAGACCCTTGTGTCCACAAAAGAGTGTATTTGTTTTCAGACTGATATTCTTAGGAAATAATCTTTTCCTGGATGGTATTTGGCTAAGAATGTCACCGGTGAGTTTCATAGTTTTTAAATATAACTCCACATTCAATTAATCATTCTACTACTTGGCATAGTTTATCATGACTTCCAACAGACCTACGTAAATATTTCTAGTGTACTTTTAATTAATACAGAATATTTTTTCCTAAAAATTCGTTCAATCCTGAAAATAGGGATAAAAGCAATGTATTCAGTGCATTATAGATGTTGGCTCTTTTTTTCATCAGTACAAAGTAAGCATTATTGTCTTAATTTTTTAAATGAAGGAACTGAAACTTAAAGAGATTAAAGGAAATGCCCAAGGAGTTTAGTTAATCAATACAAGGCCTGGTCATATCTCAAATCCAGGTCTTGCTGACTCCATAACCAACACTCTTTCCATTGTGCCATGCATGCTAACTGTTCGCTGATGTGATTGCATTAGAGCCCCAAAAAAAGTGGTACCGATCACAGGGGACATTTCAGTCTGAGTTTGAATCACTGCTGGGCAAGAGCCCAAGGATGTGAAGTGAACAAAAACTTTCACAATGACTCTAAACAGAGCGAATGTGCCAGAGACGCCACAGAACATCCTAGCACTTGACCTTTCATACCTCATTACCATGCATTTTTAATTATTTTTAATACATTGCATATGCCAGGAGAAGATCTGTTTTATTACCCTTCCATACACGAAATTAGCTTTTTGTCAATTAGTTCCCACCTTAGAATCCTGAGTAGTGAGCTATGACTTGTGAATGAGCCATTTTATTTTACAGGTAACAAATGTCTCAGATGAAGATAAGACACTTTACATTACTTTTCCTTGCCTGTGGACCCCCACAAAGAGACCCATGCCTTCAAGGAATAAGAAAAGGCTGAGAGAAGAAATCAGACCCCCTACTGACCAGGACTGCCAAGAGAAACGCCTACCATTTCTGATGCATGAATGGGCCAAGTGTACTCAATTATACATATGTCTGTTCACTCATTTCCACAGTCAAGACTACTTTGAGCCCCTGGGATGGATTAGGCTCTGTGCTAAGTGTAAGAGATGCCACAATAAGAAAACAAATGGCTCCCCGTTGCTGAGGAAATGTAATCTTTTGGAGGAGACAGATGTTAAACAAAAGATCACATAAATAAGTATAAACTTACCAATATCATCAATGCTACAAAAGAGTCATGGTGCGAGATGCTAGAAATGCATATAACAAGGTGAATTTAACTAATTAAAAAGCTTAGTAAAAGTTTTCTCCAAAATGTAATGGTGGCCTAGCAAGTTTGGCTCAGTGGATAGAACGACAGCCTTGGACTGAAGGGTCCCAGCTTCGATTCGGGTCCAGGGCACATGCCCGGATTGTGAGCTTAACCCCAATGGGGGGGCATGCAGGAGGCAGCTGATCAATGATTCTCTCTCATCATTGATGTTTCTATCACTTTTCCTCTCTGAAATAAAACATATATATATATTAAAAACAATGTAATGGTTACATATCTTTAGGAAGAACAATAGTTCACTGAGCATAAAGAACAAGGGAAAGAAATTAACCTGTTAACCGAGCGGGACTTATAAATACATCAAACGTAAACAATATCTGGAACAAGGAGAACATATGAATACGTCCTTGAAATATATGTTGCGCCCTGAAACAGACAGTATATATTTTTTGTAATCTTTATAATTGTTTGTAAAATTTACAATTTTTTAATTCGATGTTTCCATTTTTTTGTTGGTATTCTTTTCTATTTGTTTATAATTTTGTATTTTCCTTTGTGCTTTATATATAAATAAACGAAAAAATATATATTTCATTTATTTTAATTAAGCATAAATAAAAAAATAATAATATGAAATTACGTCCACCGGGCGTGATGTACTGACACATCCTAGTGAAAGAGTATGCGCCTGTTATACGTTGCGTAATTAAAAAGGGAACTCCCCGGTTAACAGGTTAATTAGGGCAATAGGATTACCAAACACTATATGTGCATCACCCTTTGTAGTCACCATATCCTTTCATTCAAAATGAGAACATCTCTGTTTCATGAAACTTCCTGTGATATTCTGCTTACTATTTTGTATCATGGCCTGGAAGAAACAGAGGTAAGACAACAGGCCTCAGTGTACGCAATCTACTTAACAATAAGCTGAAGAAAATAACAGACTGGTATAAACCAGCTTATATCAAGCATTCTTCTAGATTTCTGGGAAGAATTACTAATTCAAGAGTTTCCAAACACCATTATCAAAAAATGTAATAGCCCTGGCCTGTGTGACTCAGCTGGCTGAGCATTGTCCCAAGCACCGAATGGTTGCTGGTTCGATTCCCAGTCAGGGCACAAGTCCAGGTTGTTGTCTTGATTCCCAGTCAGGGTGCATGCATGCGGGAGGCAGCCAATCAATGTTTCTCTCTCACATCAATGTTCCTTTCTCTCTTCTCTTCTCTTCTCTTCTCTTCTCTTCTC